TTACAAGTAACAGCAGTATCCAGTCGCTCCAAGATACTAAAAACATCTCTACAGAAGACACTAATAGTGATGCAACACCAATTAAAATCATATCGGATGAGATTGTAACTCCACCTCTGGTTACTTCGCAAAACTGTGGTCGGTTTGATGACAATAATAACAATAGCACTAGAAAGTTGCAACAAGAAAACGAAGAACAACAAGTAAGAAAGTCTAAGTGCGGGCGGAGCCGAACATTAAATACCCGGCGCAAGTATTAAATATATGTAAGCCGAGGTGTATCAATTTTGAGTAAATTAGCGTCCTTCAATTTCGAAATATTATATAATATATGTGATCATAAGTGGGCGGTGCCACGCCTATTTTCCAAAATTTTACCATAAACGTATTTCTTGGTAAAGAATTGTTTCAAGCATCAATTTTGAATAAATTAGCTTCAATATTTAATGATTTATCGAAGATTTTGTATTTCTCTAAATTACCGTTATATGGGATGTGGGCGTGGTTATTGTCCGATTTTAAAAAGTTTCTGCGGTTTTTTATGCTGTACCAAGGCCAACAACTGTGCCAAGTTTGGAAGAAATTGGTGCAGCGGTTACCAAGATATACACATGTAACCATAAGTGGGCGTTGCTACGCCCATTTTCCAAAAATTTATAATATTCTTATTTTTCGTCTAAAACTTATTATAAATATCAATTTTGAGTGAATAATCTCCAGTAGTTACTAAAACATCGCAGTTTTCGTATTTCTGAAAATTACCATTATATGGGAAGTAGGCGTGGTTATTGAGCGATTTTAAAAATTTTCGGCCATTTGGTATGTTATGCGAAGGCCAACAACTGTGCCAAGTTTGGAAGAAATTGGTGCAGCTGTTACCAAGATATACACATGTAACCATAAGTGGGCGTGGCTACGCCCATTTTCCAAAAATTTATAATTATAATATTCTTATTTTTTGTCTAAAAATTATTGTAAATATCAATTTTGAGTGAATTATCTTCAGTAGTTACTAAAATATGGCAGTTTTCGTATTTCTGGAAATTACCGTTATATGGGAAGTGGGCGTGGTTAAAGTCCGATTTCGCCCAGTTTCAATATCAACCTACCTTGGATTAAGGGAAACCTACATACCAAATTTCGTTGAGATATCTCAATTTTTGTTCGAGTTATCGTGTACACGGACAGACGGACAGACGGACGGACAGACAGACATGGCTTAATCGATTTCTTTTTTCATCCTGATCATTTATGTATACATTTGTCTATATCTATCTCGATTCGTTTTGGCTGTTACAAACAACCGTTATGTGAACAAAA